GGATTCATCTTTATTTATAGTAACCTAAAAAAAAAAAAAAAAACAATATCCACACCACATTATTCCCCGAATATCACCACAAAAAAAAACAAAATCCATTCCTTATTTACAAAATATGGCATTGTTGATTCTTGGTCAGTTTTTTTTCTAAGCAGGATGAAATATAAATTTTTTTAATGTTTTATTTATAAAAGTCCCTACGTACAGTATATACTTATGAGTAAAAACCCAATACCCAGGAAACATAACTACAAAAATGGTAGAAATGTCACAAATTACAGATGAACTATGTAGATATATTTATATATATAATATGTATATATGTATAATTGATATGAAAAATACAAACAAATGATCAGATGGATGAAATGGTAGAAAATATTACAAGTTAAAGCTTAAAAAAAAATTCTGTAAAAACCACAACCCACGAAAACTCCATAAGTAGAACACATTTGATTACTATTGAAGATCCCCATGGGGGCTATATATCCATATAAGTATATATACGATTGTATAAATATATCTATATATATACATATATGCATATTATGTAGAACTAATACTTAATATTTCGATCACTGATTCGGACGATCACAAAATATGGATGCACTTAGTCCGAGTTTTGTTTGTTGCACTCATGTCTTTTTAAGTAATTCTCGACAATTCATTAATGAAGTTGTAGATACTGCACCAAATTGCTAACTTAAACAGTGCAGATTTTTCTTTACATATTCACACTTTTTATTGCTTTCTAAAAATTTTTGAAGTGGACTTACAATTTTGAGCCACCTGTGTCACCTAGAAAAGTCCAACACCATTTGATAATGCGATAACATTCTTCTTTTTTTTTTTTTTTAAAGCATTATCAAAAAATTTTAAATTTTTAAAAATAATTTGTGGATTATGTAGCTCAGAATTACAATAAAGATTTACATTTCATAGAATTTTTTACATTGCCAAACAATAATTCAACATTTACTGCTAAATTTTGAATAGAATGCGTTTCCAATCACAAATTCTGCATCTTTTAAATAGCTTAAAGCTTTTAAAATTTTTAAGTTGAAAAAACACACAATCATCACAATTTCATATATTATCTGTATAGTTACAAAACTGCATTATTTTTGAGATGTAACCGTGAAACTTCAAACTCGTAACGTGTATTTTACAAGTAAAAAGTTGCGGAATTAATCAACACATCACACCGAAAACTAAAACTGAGTCTGCACATCTGTTACGCCACTAATCTAATATACAAAAAACTTTAATAAAAATAATAATCATGCAACAGATGAGAGACTTATTGCTTTATATATATATATATATATGTATGTATATATAATTTTTTACAAGTAATGAAAAAACAATCCAACTTATGAATTGATATATATATAAATATATCATTTCTAAATTGAATAATAATAATAATAAGCTAGTTTCTAGCTATTATTAGTTAGCAATTTGT